CCTCTCTGCCTTCCCCCTGAGTGAGCATTTCTTGATGAATGGATTAAACATGTTATTTCCCTAAGAAGGACATCAATTCTACTTGTTAGATTTATGGATAACTCATATATCCCCTCCCTCATCGTTGCAATATCCTGTGGTTCAGGGAGTCACCCTCAAGATCTTGGCCAGTGCCTCCCAGGTATGGGGAGTAAATACAGGGAGTGGTGGCATGGCAAGATGGAGAGCTTGGTCCATCCATCTAAAAGAGCCATTTATGGGTCTGGGCGCCATCTTTCCTGACCTCCCCAGTAGACCCCGAGAGACTCTGTCTGGGAGAGGGACAGTCATACTCACTCTTCATTGACAAAGATGAGTTCCAGAGAAGGTTGGCTGTTGTTTTCATCCAGACCTACCATAGCAAAGGGAAGCGAGAAGTGAGATAGGGAGGCTGAAGGTGACACTGAGTCAGAGAGAAGTTCTGGGGCTCAGGGCTGGGGGTGAATGGGAAACGGTGCGTGAAGACTCCCGCTGAGGGCTTACCGGATGACCACTCCCCTCCCCTCCACTCTGAAGGTGAACAGACAGGCCCCAGGGTTTTGTCATAACCCTTAAGCAGTGGTGGTTGCTGAGAAATGAAGGAGGGTGGAAGAGCTGGGAATGAGGGTCCAAAGGAGGCTTTGAGTTATAGGGCTGGTATGGGAAAGAGATAAGAGGGAAGATGAGGGGACAGGGGCACAGGTGAGGGGCTGTGGGCAGGAGACCACACGGGAGAGGGCAGCAGGGGGGCCCGGAGGAGGGTGGAGAGCAGAGGGCAGATGGACACGGCAGACGGTACTGATGGGCTCCGTTTCCTCAGTGCTGGCGCTCGCAGCCACGAGCTGCTCCTCCTCAGCGCCCACCAGCTCCTGCAGCACGGCCTCCACGATGGGCATCACCATGGCGGTGGTGGAGGTGTTGGACAGCCACATGGACAGCAGCGTGGTGCAGCACATGAAACAGAGCAGCAGCCTGGGGCAGAGGGCCAGGCAGGCCATGAGAGTGGGGAGTGGCCCTGGGCTTGGGGGACCTTCTACAAGCTGTCAGTGGGTCTACCTCATACGGGTGTCTGGGTCTGCACTGCTCCTTTTCCAGCTGCTGTCTCCCACCACCAGCCGGCCTTCTCACCAACTGTCCCCAAGTCCCCACCTTTCTGTCGCCTGGTTCTTTGCTGTATCTAAGACCACATCTAATATCTATAAAGTAGTTTGTGATTCTCCAAGAATCTCCAGTAACATCTATGTGCAAGCATTTTCCCATTTTCCCAGTATTATCCATATATCCATTTTCCAATATTATCACTATATTCCA